TAGAAAGTTTTTTAAAAGATTTTTAGTTTTGTTTAGATAGGCCAGAAGTATTTAACACTTCCTTTTTATCTCGTTTTTTCTGGAATTAGAGAATGCGCATCGACCTTGTTGATGAGAGAAAGCAATTGAGGCAGCTGTCCATTATCTCCTTTGCTTCACGGTATGCAGAATTGATTTGTCATTGATGTATATATACTTTCAAATTTTAGCAAACAACAACATTTAGTGAGCGGTTGTAGGATCTTGTATCTGCCGCCTCAACTTCACACAGATTCCTATCAATAGCTTGACATGATTTATTACTTCTTTTTGTTGTTTAGACGATAGGTGCCGCAGGTGTGGGTTTGGTCTATGAACACAAATATTCTTTGGACCGGCAGAAGCAAACTCGCTTGGAAATAGAGCAAATTTTGCAAAAACACATGCAAGGAATCTCGCAAAGGATGGAAAAATCCGAACAAAAAATCAATCAAATCAGGCATAAATATCAAGAAATCAATCAAATCAGGCGTGGATTTCCAATTACCAACCACGTGACAGGTAGAGCAAGAGTTGTACCTTTCCTGTATCTAGCTGGCCTTCAAAACAATGATAAAACCATTAAAGACACCAGTTATTTTTGATGTCTTACATTTTATAATTGTGACAGACGCAATGCGTGCGGATATGGAGCTCTGGTCAAGGCAGTCAACTATGAAAAATATGACTGACGGCAGTTGATGATCGAAGATGTAAACCCGTTGCTGAGTTAGGTAGTGAAGGAGAGAAGATGACTTAGCATTGTAATCTGTTGCGTGTTAATTAATGATACTATTTCCTCGCTCGTATTCACTGAATTATTAGTGTTCTCTGTGTTTTATCCACCCACTTCTCCTAGGAACGCTGTCAATTCTACTCTAAACAACTCTCCTTACTCTTTATTTGCGGTTCTGTTCTTGAAAAATCCTTCTGTTGCTTTTGAGTTTGTAAATTTTACATGCTTTTGCTTCCTCTAAATAAATAAAGAAAATATGACACAAACTCTTGACTACTCTTTATTTGCTTTCAAGGAACCCAGCCGGTTCTTGAGTATTTCCACCTGGTCAGAGTGCTAGGGAACTGCAAATCAGATTGTACAAATTTGGTTTCACTAAAGTGGATTAATATGTCCTCAAAACAAGTAAACTCCATTTATTCATGACTCATGAGTCCATAATCCGATGAGGCTAAAGTTTTCCAAACCTGTACTGGTTTGTCTAGGTGTTCCCATATTGTTATATATATACCCTACCTTAGTTATATTTACTAAAGTTTGTGATTTGAGATTGAAAGCTCTAGCTTTTTCACCAAGTGTTGTAGGTTATTCAGTCTCTGAAACAAGTGTCAACATTATGAGAACACCAAGCAAGTCTTTTTGGCGTTCTAGTTTTTGATCTCATTTGATCTCATGCAAAGCTTCCCTTGGACAAGCCAACTTCTAATCCTGTAGATGAGGAGAAAGCAATGCAGACAAGCGTCAATTTTCTCATCTATTCAAGTGAATCCTAACGTATAAATATTTAAATAAAATTAATCTAAAGTAACAATAAAGAAATTAAAGAAAACAACGACAAACTTAAAGCTGAATTCAATGTGAGTGAGTATTCTAGAGCTATGGGTTAGCTAACAATCCCGTTGAGTTTTTAACTTAAATCGTCTAATTAATTTACCTGATTTATTGGTTGATAGGGTTAATATTGCTCGTAGCCTTCTCCCAAAGTACAACTCGCCTATTCAAGCTAACCTAACGCCTATATTCCTATGGAATTAGAATTAACAAGAATGCATTAATAATTCCTATATAGTAACCAAGCAAGGCGATTAGGTATATTCCTATCCTAACCGCAATTCTGCCCCCCTTCAAAGTTAAGATCTTGCTCTACTCAATCTTATATGCAATCTAAAATTCTCTCTCCCGAGTTCAATCCTAGATTCGTAGATAGTATTCAATTGGTGATCAAGCAATCAAATAATTAAGCGCAAGATTAAACAAATAAATCAATATGATAAAATAATAAGAACAATCTAAGCTTCAAACTACAACGTTCATGTAACACCCAAAACTCTAGAACTAATAAACTATGAAATTAAAGGAAGATAAGAGAAGAGAAGAAAAAACACTAGTTAGGAGCCTCCTCCAAAGCGTGGTGTGTGTTCCTCCACGTCAATTCTCTCCAAAATAACGTTTTTATATGTATTTATACCAAGTTGGGTTGAGCCCAGAACAAACCCCCTTTCCTTGGACAAGCCAACTTTTAATCCTGTAGATGAGGAAAAGGCAATGCAGACAAGCGTCAATTTTCTCATTGGTTGTACGGTATTAATGATTAATTTATTGTTGATGCTTACTTTCAAAGCAGGGCGGATCTACGTGTGTACGTACACTACTAGCAATCCGGAAAAAAGCGACCGCAAAAAGCGACCAAAGTTGGTCGCTTATAGGCCAAAAAGCGACCAAATAGGCCTAGTAGCTATATTGATGGTCTCTTTTACTTAGGGACCAAAGTTGGTCGCCAATTAGCGACCAACTTTGGTCTCTAAGCTAAATGGACCAAATATTCCGGGTTTTGACTATAGAGACCAACTTTGGTCGCTTTATTAATTTAATAATATAAATTTGGCGACCAAAGTTGGTCTCTAAATATAAAATAAGTTTTATTTATTTATTATTAAATCATTAAAAAGCGACCAACTTTGGTCTCTAATCCAAATATTATATTTTATAATCTGGACAATAGAGACCAAAGTTGGTCGCTAAATTCAAGAATTTAATTTATTTTTTAAAGATAAGCGACCAACTTTTGTAGCTATATTTCCAGAAATTATATTTTTTTATTGGTATAGCGACCAAGTTTGGTCGCTTATTTTGGAAATCTGGGTAAATAGCGACCAACCTTGGTCGCTATTGCCTAAAAAATTATTTTTTTTAAGTGAAAAGCAACCAAATAGAGACCAAAGTTGGTCGTTTTCTTGGTATATTTTTGGCAGAAACTGCCTGTTTTGGTAGCTACACCACCTGCCAGCTTACCAAATATCCTAAACAGGCATTTTATGCCAACAACAACAACAATTAAAAGCAACAAAGTATAAAGTTCAATAGAAATAACACATTAAGCTAACAAAACTAAGTTAACACTTATTACAAGCCCATTCGAACTAAAAAGAACTAACATAATAGAACTACAGTTCAAAGTATATAAAGTACTCAAGGAGTGTTCTTTCAGCATCCTCGTCTGAAAATTGGATTGCCTCGCCCGATTCATTAGGTGGTTGATTGCGTATGAATTCTCCTACGTCAGTTGTGAAGCGAACCTATATGAAAAATTATATTGAATTAGTATTTTAAAATTTATATAAAAGTAAATCAAAATACTTAATGAAAAGTAAAAAACTTACATGTATATAGTCAAGGCTCGACCCTCCTTTCTGAATCAGTCTCTTTCTTCTTCTTTACAATACGAGTTTAATTGAATAACTCATCTTGCTTCATTGCAATCATAAAGCTGTCTGGTGGCTTTGGTGATTATCCCCGTGGTACTATTACTCGGGATGAACTTAGAAACAGAGAATAACTTGGATACAGTACTTGACATGGTGTGTCTTTGATCAATTGTTGATCTCATTAGCTACAATGATAATGAGAAGTCAATGACATGTGTTACAAAATAGTGATGATGTAAGTAGGATTTAGTATTTGCTAAGTAGATAAAAGAGGTTATAGAGGAATTCTCTACTTCACTTTCCAAGAGGAAAAGAAGTTTGATTGATAGCGACAAGGTTGATGGAGATGGAATGTTTTCCGTCGGTCGTGGCAGTTCCCATAAAACGGGGATCATAAGACTTTACGATGACAAAGATTATAGGAAGTTTTGTTCTCAACTTTCTTCCAAGTCTGATCCGTACAAGCTTAATGTGATATTGGTGATATTTCTTCGGATTCAGACAATGATTTGACCGACAAAAGTATGGAAATGCTCTTAAAAAGAATTAAAGGTAAAACATTTTTCTTGGTAGAGAAGGATGCTGAAAAACATTTTACCTTTAATTCTTTTTAAGAGCATTTCCATACTTTTGTCGGTCAAATCATTGTCTGAATCCGAAGAAATATCACCAATATAACATTAAGCTTGTACGGATCAGACTTGAAAGAAAGTTGAGAACAAAACTTCCTATAATCTCTGTCATCATAGAGTCTTATGATCCCCGTTTTATGGGAACTGCCATGACCAACGGAACACATTCCGTCTTCATCAACCTTGTCACCCTCAATTAAACTTCTTTTCCTCATGAAAAATGAAGTACAGAATTCCTCTATAAGCTCTTCTTTTATCTACTTAGGAAATATTAAATTCCTACCTACACCATCACTATTTGAAACACATGTCATTGCCTTCTCATCATCATTGTCGCTAATGAGAATAACAATTAAAGGCACACTCTACCAGGTACTGTGTCTTAGTTATTCTTGGTGGAAGTTCCATTGCATGTCTAATAACATCATCAACCTCTTCTACAAAATCCTCCCGCAATCTAAAATTCCAAAACATAAACAAAAATTTCAATTCATATCTTAAAGGTTCAATTCATATCCACAAAAGTTCAAGTCATATCCTAAAGGTTCAATTCATATCCTAAAGCTTCAATTCATATCCACAAAAGTTCAAGTCATATCCTAAAGGTTCAACTCATATCCTAAAAAGTTCAAGTCATATCCTAAAATTTCAATTTATAATCTAAAATTCCAAAACATAAACCAAAATTTCAATTCATATCCTAAAGGTTCAATTCATATCCACAAAAGTTCAAGTCATATCCTAAAGGTTCAATTCATATCCTAAAAATTTAACTCATACCTAAAAGCTTCAATTTATGTCCTACAAGTTCAATTCACAAGAACAAAACCTAAAAACTAAAAGTTATATTCATATCCTACGAGTTTAAACTTAAACTAAAAGTTCAATTTATATCCTGAAGGTTCAACTCATACCTAAAAGGTTCAATTTATGTCACGACCCCAACCCGGTCGTGATGGCGCCCAGCACACTACTAGGCAAGCCCGATGTGACAACCCGACCCGACCCGTCGTCTCATGAGTTACCGCTCCGATTTCCCCATTTTCAGCTTCCTTATCCATATCTTGTGTAATCGAGTTGATTTGAAGTGGTTTTAATAAGAAATGAGACACTTAGTCTCTTTTAAGAAGCCATAAGTTGGAAAAGTCAACCAGACGTTGACTTATGAGTTAGAGGGTTCGGATGCGAATTCCGATGGTTCGGTTAGCTCCGGGAGATGATTTGTGACTTAGGAGTGTGATCGGAAGTGGTTTTGGAGGTCCGGTGTAGAATTAGGCTTGAATTGGCGAAGATAGTATTTTGGCGAATTCCGGTTGTTAGGCGAGATTTTGATATAGGGGTCGGAATGGAATTCCGAGAGTTGCAGTAGCTCCGTTATGTCATTTGGAATGTGCGTGCAAAGTTTCAGATCATTCGGACGAGGTTTGGTAGACTTTTTGATCGAAAATGTGTTTTGAGAGTTTTTGAAAATTTTAAGGTTGAATCCAACGAAAAATTTGTGTTTTGATGTTATTTTGAGAGTTCCGAAGATTGGAACAAGTTTGAATGATGTTTTAGGATTGGTTGGCATGTTTGGTTGAGGTCAAGGGGGACCTCGGGTGAGTTTCGGGGTGGTTTCGGACCATTTCTAGGCCATTTTTAATTGCTGGTTTTTGGCTACAGCAGTGTTCTATGCGATCGCGGGGAATTGGTCGCAATCGCGGTGAGTAAAATATGAGAAACATGCCAATGAATCGCGATCGCGTAAAGCCTTTCGCGATCGCGGAGAAGAAACATTCTGTTGCGTTGATCCCACTTCGGAAGCTCATATCTCACAATCTAAGGAATGTTGAGATGATGTAAAAACGAAAGTTGTAGTCCTTTATGTCTA